GAGCTAACACACAGCCTTGCTTCAAACGAGAGACAACTGCGAAGTCATCTGAGGTCTGTCCGCTCAGCTACACCCTTGCCCGCATACCACTGTGCAGACATTCAATTAAACTTACAAACTTAAGCGGACAACCAAACTTACCCAGCACCAGCCACAATGCCTCGCGGTTCACCGTATCATATGCCTTGGTGAAGTCAACAAAAAGCGAGTACAATGGCTGGTGTCGTACTCTGCACTTCTGCAACTGACGAGCTGCAAACACCATATCGATGGTGCTGCGACCCGAACGGAATCCACACTGCTCTTCCGCCACATTAGGTTCCACAACTTGACTGACAAGGTGGTTGAGCAGGATTCGGATAATCACCTTGCCCACACCACTCTGCAAGTTGATGGCACGATAATTCGTGCAACATTGCTTGCTCCCTTTGTCCTTGCACCGTGGTAGCTCAAGGGCTTCCTTCAGCTCTGGAGACACTTCCTCCTCAATCCACACGCGTTACACCAAGCGGTGCAGCGCGGTCACCAACGTGGGTCCGCCATGTTTCAGTACTTCAAGCGGGATCCCGTTGGCAGCGACAGATTTGTTCTTTCGCAGCTGAGCAAGTGCTCTCTGCGTCTCATTCAGTGTCCGCGTGTCCGCCAGACTCGCTTTTACACCGTGCTGCTTCAGGCCGTTCAAAGTAGGCCAGTCGATCTCTGGACGGTTGTTCAATAGATAGTCAAAGTGTTTTTGCCAGAAATGCATTATGTCTGCAGTCTGTTTACGAGCGGCGCCTGAACGACCACCGATTAGCGTCCTTAGCGGCTCTAACATCGGTTTATTCACCACCTTCAAGGAGTCAAAGTATTCCTTGTGGTGGCGGTGTTCGGAGTAGCATTCCATATACTTCTTCCTCTCTCTTCACCGTGCATTTTTAATGCGACGTATCTTTCAGGTCAGTCTTCGTCGTATTCAGCCAAACTGACTTTTCTTCCCAAATTCACTGTGTTCTGCGGCATGTGCAGCTAATGCCGCATTCTTCTCCTACTCCAATGCGCCAATCGCCTCATGGTTCTCCTCAATCCAATCAGGCGGCTTGCAGGTTGCGTGCCCCGTGGTCTCCTCAGCATCAGCTGTTACCTGGTCACGAATGTGGGGCCACAGGTCGTCCACTGTGGCTATACATCCAACATCACACAGGCGTGCAGGCATGGTCTTCTCCAGCTCAACATCTTTCTTCACAGTACCGAGGGAGAGAAGGTTTAATTTACGCCCATTCACGGCGGGAGTGCTGTGTTATGCGCACTTCACGCATTTCACACTGACGTACGATGACATCGTCGAGCAGGTGCGCGTGATCACTCCGTGGGTGCGTCCAAGTTGCTGTATCGCTCGCACTCACTGCAAACCGAGTGTTCATGATCGGTAGGCCGTGAGTGGTACATAGTGAGAGCGGCCTTTCACCGTTAGTATTCGTTGAACCAATGCCATGTGGACCGATGACACGTGTCCACACCGATGCGTCGCGCCCAACGCGCGCGTTGAAATCATCCAGCAGAAATAGTCGGTCGCTCCTCGACACAGACCGTTTCTCGGAGGATAACTGAGTGTAGAATTGATCACTCGTGTCATCAAGATAACATGTGGTCGGACCGTACGTGCTTATAAAAGTGGCAAACGTACCTCTTTCGAGTCGTAGGCGAACAGTCATCAGTCGCGCGCTGATGCCTGTTGGTTTACGCACGAGGTGGCCATTGAGGCGATCGGATATTACAAATTCGACCCTATGTTCACGTATTATTGAGGTGCCGTTGCCCACCCAGTAGAACGTGTAACCAGCACCTGCTTCGTGCAGCTTACCTTGCTCAGGGAGCCGGGTCTCACTGAGCGCCGCAATATCAGTGTGGTAGTGCGCCAGTTTCATCGCGACGAGTGCAGTGCGTCGCTCCGGGCGCTCAGCTGGAGTTCCGGTCCAGTAGTGTGCGCACGTTCGAGCACCCGATGCTGAGTGCTTTGCGCGCAGACATACGATTGCATTGGTGGGCAATCGCACGTGAGTTCGCGGTTGTGCTTCGGAGGTTTGCTTGAGGGACTCCACCCGGAGCCTTTGACTCAATAGCCTGACCCACAAAGCAGTAAGTGATTTGTACGTTTGCTTGAGGGATGCCGCCCGGGTCCTTTGACTCAATAGCCGGACCCACAAGGCAGTGGGGAGCAGATCCAGCTCGGGAATGTGATTGCAGAGACGGATTTAAATCTGCTTGTGGTACGTGACGCGCAGCCTTTGGAGATCTGGTGCCATTCATATATGTTTTTCGACCGTAGTAGTATATGTCCCTGCGACCACGGTCAGACGCAGGTGGGTTTTGACAGGTTTGCACCAATTTGACCAGCAGCTGCCTGGCTTGATGTGGGTAGTAGCAAACTATTGAGCACCCGGAGATGCCATCCCAACGTCAGAGACAATACGTGGCGCTTGTTGTCTACACTAATCATGCGATGAGCTTATAACCCGTAGACCTGTCATCTCCTATGGCTAGCTTTTACGGGATGTGGGCCATCGACCACTTCCTAACATCCGAAGAGGATGGTTTGGGATACTGCCATGGTGCGCACACCTGACAGGAGAACTACTCGGCTCCTCAGCCAAAGCCTTCGATTAAATGTACACCCGAAAGGCAGCGGGTCTAGCACATGGTCAGTTCACTGACTCATGCGGATTGGTGTCCTGGCTTTTATGGTGGCGGAGAGGAAGGGCGTGACCCAACTCCCACCCAGCGGTCGCCACGAAGCGGCGTCCAGGACATGAGCCAATAGCGCAACAGTAACAGCTGTGGGTAGACCATCTAGACAGTACAAGTCTCAGCGCACCATAGGCTCTCCCGCCACTGTTGCCAATACATACATACATACTTGACTACTCAGAATTATACACGCTCTGGTCAGGTTATCCGATGTTGCTTATGTGATGGTGTCGGCCGGTGGCAAATTGGTTTGCGCGCCTAGTTTGCAACCACAAGGTCACCGGTTCGAATCCGCGTGGGGACGGATGTCCTCGCGGTATACTCAGCCCGATTCATTCGTATATGTTCAAACTATCTTATCCTATCACCATTGCTTGGTACTCGGCCGTATGCCTGGTGGTTGCGCACGCGCTGGTGCTAATCGACACGCCTTCTTCTGTAGGTAATGGTAGTTTGAGACCTGAAGACACTTGAGATCGTTGGACTCAAGAGTTCAAGCCTCACTGTACCTATGTACGCTCGATTTTTAAGTACAATTTCCATCCGGTGTTAATGGTGTCACATATTCACAAAATAATTCTATGTTCCAGCCACGTATCCGCCCCCTACCAGTGCACATACCAAGGCAGTGGAAGTAATCAACTGTCCCATCTTCCATGCTCTAAAAATCCAGACGTGAAGCAAATGGCTGGTAGTCTTTAAAAAGGGCATTGCGTTTTAAAGCCGCAAATATCTGTGTGTGCTGTTTGCCACTATCACGGAAAGTCATTGAGGATGTTTTCAAAAGTGTTATGAAAGGTTCCTTGCGCGCTAGCGTTGAGCTCCTCCTAGGTAGTCGTGATGTTGATCTGGAGTACGCTGATGAAATCGTCTTCCTGGCTGACGGTCCACAGACCCTCCACATTGCACTTAACCGCTTAGCGATTGCAGCCTCAAAGTATGGGATGCTTTTCCCCATCCAAGTGCAAACTTTTCCAGGGCCGACAGATGCCTGTACTTGCGCTCAGTCTTGTTGGTGGGACGCTGGAGGTTGTGGAGATTTTTGTCTGCGTGGGGGGCTGCATCACTGTCAGTGAAGCTGTTGGAGATGACATTTCGGTACGTATCTCAAGAGGTTGTCTCTCTTTCTCTAGACTAAGGCATTTGTGGTGCCGTTATGCCATTCTTCTGCATCAATAGGCGAGTTTATGGTGCGACTGTCTGCGCTGGTCTGTTGTGCGATTACGAGCCATGTTTTTACCGTTGACCTGTGCCGGCTGTCTGTCTTCGAGCACCGCTTTTTGCAGCCCATTGCCTGTGTGTGGTGGCTGCACCGCGTAACCAATGTTAGAGCTAGACAACGTATCTGCGGTGGAGGCAGCCACTCGCTCAAGGGGCTTATCTCCCTTCTTCAACTGCGTTGGCTGGGACACGTCTTGCGCATGCCTGTTCATCGTCTCCTTCGTCGGGTGTTGTTCGCGGTTGCTGAACAGTGCTGAACGAGGTGGCGCGGTGGACAACCTTCGACTTGGAGAAGAAGCATGAAAAGGGCGACGAAACGGTTGGCATCGGTCGGTTGTTCTTGACTCCCTGGTTGGCATTTCAGAGATACAGTGTTTGCTGGCTGGAAGTTATGGCTCAAGATCGAAGTCAATAGCGGACCTGTATCTCTGCGTGTTGCGGTGATTTCTGTTCCATTTCGTAGTAAAACATGCAGTAGAAGAACTCAGAAACTAAGTAGAAACTTGCCAAAAGAACTCAAATATTTTTTCTTGTTTCTCTCTTGTTTTTTTTATACAGACATGATTCCGATGGCACAATATATATATATATATATATATATATATATATATATATATATATATATATATATATATATATATATATATATGGTCTCAAGTCAACCGAACCCATCTTTCTTCATTGCACACTTTTTGTTAACTAATTAAAACGAACTGCTTTGCTCCTTCTTCTTGCTCCGCACCAGCGAGCACTGTGAAATTTGACTTCTTTATCACCCAAGCACATAAAGATCGATCCGTTTGGGCGTTGGTAAGGTGTAGGCCACCTTGTGTAGAATAACTGGGGCAATTGTTTTTCTCGATCCCAACGAACGTGTTACGACTGCTTACTCCTGCGTATGTGCTCAGCATGCTCTTCCGGATCAATCGTATCGCACACATAGTATTAACTTTAATGCCACCTTTACTGTCATGATCACTTGCTAGTGCATCCGCTATGCTATGTTTTACGGATATTCTCAAGTTACTTCCGTTCGATTCTTTTTGAACCAGGCGGCACGATCTACTCCTAATTCCAGAGTTGGCGATCAATCCTCTTGGTGATCGCATCGTCAATGAATTTTTCAAGGACTGGTACGTTTTTCTTCGTTTTCTTGATTATTCTTCCACCGGTTTTCCAACCGCCTGCTCTGCGATGCTGAAATCGAACAGGATCCTATTTTCCATACTGGTTCTCGTTTTGCTGCTAGTGCCACTCAGTGCCTTGCACCTTTAACTAGTAGGTAATATAGTACTAGATCTGAAACAGCCATGTATGGGTGCCAGATCTTACATTTGCGAAGACATCTCTCCTATATGTATCCTGATCGGGTACTTACATAGTGCCCTGTCATCGGTCGTCGCAGTTTGTATGTACGCATACCATTATCCAGATGCTTGCAATGACCAGCATAGGATAACAGACAAATGGAATCACCTTGTATATTATAACTTGAAACTGATACCTCTGGTTTTTACTATATCTAACCTCAAATGTGCGGATTCATACTCGTTCTCTTCGGTTCAACTTTGGTCTACATTCAAAGCGTAGTAAATCCAGTTGCCTTAACACATCTCATCAAGTGATGCCACTGAGTTAGCAGGGATGAATTTAACTTATCAGAGGGAGTAGTCAAGGATCTGAATTGGGGGAACGTATGCAAGAGCAGCACTGACCCCATGCCTGTATTATGTCCCATAATATGGTTGGTCCAGAGTACCATTCGGAAGGATAACAAGGACCGTCCAGACTCAATCTGTCAGTGATTGGCCATCTCGTAGTTTCATCCAACTAGCCACATTACTGGCAGACATTACACGTCAGAGCATTCGGTTTGCGGGCGCGCGAAACCCATGATCGAGGGCAATTCGGATTCAACAGGCACTCCACAATGAGGCACTAAATGTTCTTTTGTCTGACTCCAACTAAAAGGTTTGGCTATTACTTACCCGGTTTGGTGCTGAGTTATCTGCGGGGTAATGGCTGATTCTGAGGTTAGGCAGTGCGAACCGCAAGGAAGCTGTCTCGCCGATGCCGCCGTTGTACCATTGCTCGCTGTTTGTGACGGTATGTTGTCTACACAAGGTGTAGGCGCCTTGACCCTGAATGTTTGCTTAGGGCATTAAGGTTTTCAGGTAAGTCCCCCTTCTCTCCCTCTTATTATTCCTTATTTCATAGGTCATCATGGTTGTATGGCAGTGAAGCATCAGTTCAAATGGCTGATGTACTGCTGTTATTGATGATTGATGATACCCGGTTCTCATATCAGGCGTGAGCGATACCTTGCGGGAATCGGTGACCAAACACAGCTGTACCATTTTCGATGAACAGCGGTCATGTCTAGGATTCATTTGGTAATCAGCATTGTAGATCCCTGACCAACACACCCACCGTCTTCATAAGCGACCGAGACTTAGAAAGCCCTACTAGTATTAGCAACGTCGACAGTGACCACTTCCGTGATATGACCGTCAGCGACGGTTCCGATGCTCAGATGAGTAAACCGATCTAGACATCTGTCCGGTGATGGTGAGTTCAGTACAGTTCACTTGAACAACTGTGGTAGCTGTATAGGTATTTAAGGATTACAACCTGATCGTGATGAGGCAAGTACTGTTGTCGACTACTGTCTATCGATTTGATCTGTATCCATTTCCGTAAGGCGTTCGACACAGGCTGCAACTGCGGTGTTGTTTGATCACTGCATCTGTGGATCCACGAGGTTCTCGCTGGAAAAATGTCAACAATACAGATTGACGGTCATCTGATCGACTGGTATCCCTCGACCAGTAGCGCACTCCAAGGCGTGACGCTGCTGTCGACTTGGTTCCTGTTCTATATTAACGATCTACTACAGCTTCTCCGGTCGCCGTGTGACCTATGTGCGAACGACAGGATGATTTGAAGAGTCATTAACACCCCTGACGCCTGTGGCATAACACGGCAAGACCTCAGTCGCCTCCATAAGCTCAGCAGGAGCCCGCCTCCCGCTCAACCCAACCAAGTTTGTATCCATGATCTTGGATAAGGGTGGTGACTGCCGAACGTACACCCTTGACGGCTGACCGATACATCCCGCACAGCACACTTTCACACTGCAATTTGAAGTCCGTGGACAACACGAACAGGCTGTACAAAAACGGACCGAGCATGCTTTGAGTGCTCAAACGCAGCTTCTGCATCTCGTCTGCAGACGTGCCACTCGCCTCTTCTGACACATCATAAAACCAATTTTAGAGTACGGCACATCCTCGTGTTGTCAGACAACCCGTCACAGTAACTGTTGTTTTCCACCTCTTGCTATGGTGTATAATCAATCCGACAACCCGTATCGTGGTGCGGAGACTGGAACCAGTTCAGCATGTAGTAACCAGGCTCATACCCAGTTTACGGGGTATGCCGTGCAAAGACCGATGCGGGACAATGGGGCTGTACACACTGTCGCATCGTGGATTTCAAGTGGATTTTATAGTGACGCACCGGCTGTTACATCTCGGTGACTGCCACCTCTTCCACTTTCTAACGCCATGCAACACATGTGGACACCGGTACAAGCTTGTGGTACTGAATCTGAGGCGAATTCCCCGCCCCTGTGCTTCGAACGGAAGGTAGTTAATCTTAGGAACACTCTACAAGGAAACTGCAAACATACTCGGTGCAGTAATCCAAGCATTACTAGAGTTGATGTTTCCACACTTTGTTTCGGAGCAATTAACACTTTGCAGTGACATCTCAATTTGTGAGTTCCAAGCTATTGTAACCCATTCATATTTTCCTGCATTACGTGGGGACATGTGACATGATCGCCCAAACGGGTCGTCTTTCAGACTCTGAAGAGCCCCTGGGAGGTGGCTTCGCAGTCGATGCACGCCGAACAGACAATGATGATCGATTCCTGCAACTGCGCCTACTTCAATGTTTACCTTAGAAACACTGCTTTCTAGCACAAACGTTCACACCGCGTCACCTGGCGCCCACCGAATTCCTCAATGACCTGTACCCAATTTGACTATATTGCCATCAGTTAAAGATGGCGCACAACAGTCCAAGACTGTCGGTCAATTTAGAGCACGCGCCTAGCTTCTGACCATGCTCTAATGCCTACGCGCCTGTCACTCACTCTTCCCGCTTCAAGGAAGCGCTTCTAACCTTATCTGTAACTTGAGCTCTCAATCCGCCGTTCACCAATATTATAACTAACTCGCCCGCCAATTGTCAGTGATGAATGAGGTTGGTGGGCTGAACGCTGAGTGGAACCGTCTCAAATGTGCCTTAAGGAATGCCTTTGACGCATGCTGTGCACCCAACTTGAGACCTCGTAACTGCGAGTGGATATTTGAGGCATCGATCAGCTTGCCCCAAGCATGGAAACGGGTTCCGATGGGCACTGCACGACGTTTGACAAAGAGTTTTTGAACCGGTGGGGAAAGTTGGTGGATGACAAGAAGCCCGTGAGTTGGAGAAAGGCAGCGCTATTGGGAACAGCTGAGTGCTATTCCTGCATATCCGGAACATGGGTCCGAGAAAGCCATCAGTTAACGAGACAATAGCTGAGAAAGACTGGGAGTTGATCCATTCTCAGCGTCGTCAATTAGTCTGTTGGGCGGAACATTTTGAAGAGCAGTTCAGCAGGCCTGCTGCGACACAGCCGCTTGCCGAATCGCCTGATCCAACGTTGGAAGCAGGTTTCACGTCTCACACTTTAGACCTTACCGTGGTGTGGGGGTTGGCGTGTCTGCGATCCATTTATCTATGCTGGATGGACTTTTTTGTATCTTCAGAGCCACTCATGCCAGATTGGTCAATTGTTAGAGGCCTGACAAACTCAGCCTCCTGGCCCTTCAGGTTAGGGGTTGAAGTGAGAGTAGCTCCTTATTCCTTAAAACGGACTACTTGTAATTTACTGCCAAACCTGCTGCCTTGTGCTAAGCTTTTTGAGCCAATGGCTTTGGTTGGGAACCCTAATCATTCTCCTGTCTAGGCCTGGACAACCTGATAGTTTCCTGCCCACGCAATACTAAGCATTTTTCCTTAAACATATTCCTGATGCTCTGGCCACCACAGAGGATAATCTACGGTGCCCTATTTACTGCGTCGAGCTGGGTGGATAAGGGTTTGGATGCTACTGCTCAAGCTTTCCCGTTTTCTCATTCACTTTCTTACGCTTTTTCATCTTTATCGTTCCGTTCCAACTTCACTTTTATTCCCCTCGTTTTTATCCCCCAATTCTTGGCCCTCCCCTTCGATTGGTGTTTATCTTCTCGTTTCAACTCACATGCAAACGCGGAGCGTCACTTGCCCTATCGGCAAGCCTATGTCTAACCAAACGGTCAAGCCCAGTTCATCGGCTTCTATTTGGAGCCCTCGACTCTCCCTCAGATTGGCATGCCTCAACGTACACACATTGTTACAGATTGGTCAACAGGCAGCGCTTGCCCTAACTTTAGAGACTCTCACGATCGATATCTGCTACTCATTGAAACCCGCCTACAAGATCCGAGCTTTGTTCTCACTCTGAGATCCCGTTCAGCTGATAATTGCAGTGCTCTCTCATTACGCCTATCAGGGGACGGTGCAGCTTCGAGTACCGGTCACCCCGTTGTTGGTATTGCCCTGAGTCCTCGGGCTGAAGCTGCTCTGGTTGATTGGATCCCCATCAGTTGCTGCATGTGTGCGATGCGACTGGCTGGCTCGTTCAAAGTTTCGAAGTCACACGGAGTTAATAGGTGTCTATTCGTCATCGCTGCCTACACCCCCACAAACTATAGCGATGACTCGGTAAAAGATGACTTCTCTCGCCAACTGAGCGCGCTCCTTTGCCACAGAAGGAGCACGGACACTGTAGTGCTTGGTGTGGATCTGAACTCCCAAGTTGGAAAATTGTCCACTGATGAGCTGCATCTGGATGGCCAACACGGTGTATGCTCCCGTAATGATAACGGTGAGCGGTTACTTCATTTGTGTGAAGATGCTCGTTTAATTCTTGTGATTACTAACTTCCGACATAGCACCCGTCGGTAGCTGACATGTCGCCCACCAGCTTTGGACGCAAATCGATGACATCGCGATCAGTTATCGCTGAAGAGTCTACGTC